CTACCTACCTACCTACCTAACTACTGTACCTATCTACTCATCCACCTATCCACCTCTCTACCTATCAATCTACTCTTCTTTTTCTTAGGCGATCCGTCTATCTGTCTGTCTACCTAGACCTAGCTACTAGTGGTCAAGAGCTGCCAAACCGACAGGAAACGTCCAGCCAGAACAACAGAGCTGCATTTCCCCCACGCTGAAGTATACTGAGGTCGCCACGGCGGCTGTTCTGATCCAGGTGAAGTGCAGTCTCGTTTCCGAGAGCGAGTTGATCACCGAGAAGTTGAACGACAGGGTGCCGGAGGGTTCTACAAGGGGTATAAAAAGGTTCTATCAAAGCCTTATAGGACTTTGTTACAGTTTCTATTGCGTGCTTTTAGCTGTGGGGCTGAGGGTGATTTCGTTGTTCGGCTCTTCAGTTTGGCGGTCGGAAGTTCTGGCAAAAATTGATGCAATAAGGCTTCCGCCACGAGTGCGGTCTGCTGCGGAGAACCTGGCTGGGCGAGCGCCAATCCAACCTGTGCAAAAAGAGTTCACCCCCCAGAGACCGTATACAATGCATAAAAGCCCTCTAGAACTTAAAACCCCCACGCCGAAACTCCCACCATCGAGCATGCAAGAAAAGCTGCGTGGGGTCCACTTCCAAAGAGCCGTCAGGGGTCTTCTATATGTTGCGGGTTCCACATGTTCTAACCAGGCTCATATTCTTCATGTAAGGCGCCTCCTTGAGGGAGCTATCGAGCTCCTGTAGACTCAGCCGAAGCCCTAGAGCTAAAGCCATGCGATGTCGGTGCAGATTCCATCGTTTCCATCCGCTTCCGGCTTTTTCGGAAGAGTTGAGTTTTCCATTTCGCAAAAAGGGTTTAGGGTTTAGGAAGAACTTTCGCGGAAACTCAGCAAATACAGCTCGAGGGCGCTATCCTTTGAAAGATCGTGCTGTGCTTCGGGTACTTTCCGTAGCTTTGCCAGGATGTGGCGACAAAGCTGGCGGTTCTTCTGATCCTCGCTTTGCGCTACGCTGCCAGCTCAGCAGTGGGTTTTGGGGGTCATGTCTTGCAGCTTTGGGGTGCTCGACGCTTTGGTAGGTAGGTTTAGGTTGTGACGGCGTCGTGCATCTGATATGGGCTTGGAGCACTGCACCCCAACCTCGCCTTCTGGCCCACGCCGTAAGCCGTAGACCCTACGTGAAAAGGCCACACTGTAATCCCCAAAACCACTTAGTAAGTAGGGCAGGCTTGATGTCAAAACCGTCACAACCAGACCCCTGCAACTCCCAGGCCCATGGTCTATGCAGCAATAAGTTTAAGGTTTGAGGGCTTATGTAGGGTTCAGGGCTAGGGATGTAGACACCTCATTCCCACTTTTCTACCGTTTTTTACACATATCCGAAACCCCTGAGCCTCCAGCTATCCCTGACCGGAAAGCCTCCCTGAACCCCAAAAGCCTCAACCCAAGGGCATAGTCCGCGATTTCTCATCCTCCAGCCTGCTAGCGTCTGCTACAAATGGAATTGAGAGGCAATGGAAACTCATAGCAAACCGATGGCCTCCAAAGCATATCTGCGTGCGTACAACAAATCTCGAACAAGACCTCCTTAGAGCATCTTGGGGCACCCTTTTGCCTCACGTCGCCTGGACGAAGGTTGCTTCGGCTGTTCTTTTCCTGTCTGTGGCAGCACTGATGGTGTCGGTTGTCGGAAGCCCAGACATGTTCTGTGTGTAGGTGTGCTTGTGGCTGCACATTTGGACCTCATGCTTAAGCGAGTCTGCAGGGAGAGGAGGTGTCGTGGTGCTGGAGTGAGTCGGTGTCGTGGGGTACAGCAGGCTTGCCTTGTGGCCGCGTGTGTGCGCGTGTGCGGACATGTGTGTCGGTATGTACCTGGGTAGGTACGTATGTACGGTTCAGGTATCAACACGAACATACGAGTCTAAGTGCTAAGTCGCAGCGGACTAGGTAATGACGTATCTGCGCAGCCTCCTGTCTTCCACGTTCTGGCACCTACATGAAGTCCTTTTCGCCCGAGACGATGTGTCAGGGTTTGGGGTTTGCGGTCTGGACGGAGAGAGGTAGGAAGGATAGATGGATAGATGGATAGATGGATGGATAGCTGGATTGTAAGGGAGCAGGAAGGTTCATGGACGCAAGAGTGGTAGACACATGGATAAAGGTTTTTGGCGATAGTCGAAGAAGGAGCCTATGGAGGGCAACCTTTAACCCTAAACCTGGAGTTTGTTAGTAAGTGTAGCTTTCATCCCATCCCTGGGGTTCAAGTCTGGCGATGCAAAATGGGGTGTGTAGTAGTTCTCACACCCGGAGTTGTGTATAACCATACTGAAGACCCGATCTGCGGAAAATCTCCACAATCCCAGAAAGATGAGGGCACCTTGTCTTCGCTACCAGCACTGAACTTCCTCATAGCCCGAAAGCTCGGCACACCTGAGGCCTGGATGCAGCCTGTGCTGGCCTTGTGAGAGGGGTCAGGGTAGTGCCGAAGGAAATCCTGCTTCCGGTCCTGGCAAGCTGCAAACAGCTGTGAGAGATGGGGGCATTTGGTATCGCTACGGTCATATATCCCAACCCATTTGGTCAACATCTGCCTTTCGTTTTTCTTCAGTGATTGACTTCGTTGGCTAGGTGGGCGTGTGTGTCTGTCTCTGTGTGTGTGTGTGTGTCTGTCTGTCTGTCTGTCTGTCTGTCTGTCTGTCTGGCTGGCTGGCTGGCTGGCTGGCTGGCTGGCTGGCTGGCTGGCTGCCTGCCTGCCTGCCT